CTCTCTTGCCCACTGCGTCCTCCGGGCTCATCTGCAGACCTCCTTGCACAAGTCGCTGTGGCAGCGCTTCCGCATGGCTCACGCAGGAATCCATGAATGAGCGCTGCCTCTTGATTTATACTTCAGAAACTCGTTGGTCTGCCCTTTGCCATCGGCCCTTGGTGCTCACAGTCCCCCTGTGGTACTTGCTGGACCGGACTGGGACTGACTGGGCCTTCTGCTGACTGACTGTGGACTCACCGCTATCCTACCGACGTTGTACTGCTGTTGCACTGCGGTTTAGTCCACCACTTGCCTCACCACTTGACCACTGGCCCACTTGCCTACCTTCTAGAAGGTCTACAGCTAAGCTTCCGGAACTCACTAAGACTCCTCGAACCCCTGCTGCCTATGGACCTACGACAGGCCTACCAACTGCCTACGAATACACAGGTCACAGGTTCAATTCCCGGGGTCTACACAGATACTGTACATGGGTAGGGTGAGATCTAGGGATCGAACCCTGGGTACTGCATCCGCTACTGCTAAAAGGTGAAAACCGTTTCACCATGACGGTTCAGCCCGAAAGCCTGACATCCAGGGTCCACAGGCCCTGTATCGTTTCAGCCTAAAAAAAGGCCTGAGCCTTTTCAGCCTGAAACTGAGGGCTATTCTCGGGCCCTCGTCAGACCGCCCTGCCCCGAAACAAGCACATTGGGGCATTGGCAGGAGCGACCTGCCCTGAAGCTTCCCCAGGGGCTAGCACGTTCAGGCATTGGCAAGAGCAGCCTCCTGGACGGGCCAGCACTACATAAGACTGGCCCGCCCTACAGGTAGGGAGATAGAGACTGCCCAGGCACTCGACGTGCGCATCTACAGGCAGGGAGTAGTCTTCAGCATTCGGCAGCAGCACTCTGGAGGAGCGYTGCAGTAGTAGTAGTAGCGTTAGCTATAGTCTTCAGCGCTGGGCGCTAGTAGGAGGTAGGAGGGAGAGAGAGATTGGGCGGAGGCCAGGGAGACTTACCTGCAGCGCCATAGCTCCAGCTCGCCATCGAGGTACCTGCAGCACAGCGCCATCATCACAGGTTAGCACCTGGCACTTGGAAAAGAGAGAGAGAGAGAAACTTCTTCTTCTTCCTCTTCTCAGTCCGCCATCTCTCTCTTACCCTCTCGCTACCTGACTTCACTGCACCAGCAGACTACGAGAGTGAGAGTGGTTACTTACAGAGGATACAGGCAGAGGTTGCAACGGGCATGTGGCCCAGGATCTGATTCGACATTTTTGAGGCAGGCATTGTTTGGACGTCGGCAAGGGACTATTTTGGACTTCACTATTGCGATCTTGGTCTTCTCCCTCGCCTCCATCTTCGTCCTTCCTCCCCCTCCATCTCTCATCCGTGGTATCTCCCCATGTCTGTGTAAAGGGAAGGACCTTCTTCTGTGTATGCGGTCCCTCCTCTTCTTCTCACATGTGTGATGTATGATGGGATGTCGTGACAGTCCAGGTCAGGTCAGGACTCGTCTCAAAGTCTTCCGCTGTGCTATCAAATGCCATTTTTCATGTATCGGGACGTACCTTGTCTGTTGATGTTTCACTAACAGTACATTGTCCATTCAGTCCTTTTTATCACATTGCAGATCCTTGGCTGAACACATAGCCCAACTGGGCATGCAACAGTTGGTATCGGAACGCTGCACGTGAATCAGGACAACCTGATCTGACACGTGTGCGGGGGACTAATTAGTTGATTAGTCTCGATTGATTGATTGATTGATTAGAGTACACTAGGTAGCCCCCAAAATCACGATTTTGACTTAACTGCCAAAAATCGATTTTTTTTTCCTGTTCTTGGATTTTGTTTTCCTGCTATTTCTGTTGTGGACAATCGCAATAGCGCAACACCCGAAATTTCCGTTTTCATGTCTTTCTGAAAATCCGAAATTTCATTGTTGGAAATCCGGAATAACTTTTATTGAAAATTCCGATTTTGCATTTCCCGTCACTTAGAAATCCGGAATACTTTTTTCAAGTTCGTTTTTTTTTTCAAAACGGTACGGGAAAATCCATCTGGCAGTTACCACTTTCCAAACTGCGCATACTCTCATCTAAGTAATTCCGAATATTTTTTTATTTTTTTCGGGTAATCATTTGCAGTCTGAAAGTTCAATTTTTTTTTTCAGTGATAATTTCGCACTTCACGGGAGATCGCGAGACCTACTGAACTTGCAAACTCGAGATTTTTGTTGTGGCTGTTATTTTCTCGAATTTTTTTGCATTTCAAACTTTTCGTTCTTGATTAGTGGCTCCTTATCTGGGCAATTTATCCCACCCACCTACATTGTTGCCCTCTGGTCTAATCCAGTTCTTCATCTGAGTCCGGGTACCCCTACTGCGGCATTGGTTAAGTTGCCACGACAGCAGGCCACGTCAGCAGACCACGTCAGCAGGACACATCAGCAGACAGCCGCACCACGTCAGCAGCAGGGAGTGCCACGTCAGCAGTCCTCCAGCCTAGCCTATGCTCACGCGCTCTCACACAGCCATCATGGACCAGAAGGCAGGGGAAACGGACGAGGCCTATCAAACCCGGCTGTTGGACATGCTCGCCGAGGTCGAGCAACGGTCGGACGCTGCAGCAGCAGCGGCAAAGAAGAAGGCAGAAGACGCAGAGAATGCGTGTCTACTGGCAATCGAGCAACAACGCCAGCAGGACAAGGCAACAGCCAAGGTTGTAGATGAAGAACGAATGCAACG